CAGTCAAAATTACTTCCTTGGGCAATCTAATGTTAAGAAAAACATTTCTAATAAAATTTCTAAATCTTCGTATCATTCGATTCATTTTGTTAATACGATACGAGCGATAAGAGTCGAGCAAATGTATTTTCGAGACAGTGAAAACAGTTTCGCTTTGAAGCTTCTGTAGATAGAGATACGCCGATAAATCGGGAATGGGAGGAAGAGGAAAAAATTTAGAGGTGCGGAGCACAGTGAGACTCGTTGTGTCACAGCGGGACCAATTAGTGCGAGCTGCAAACGAAACTCTTATCGAGATCATCTACGATCCTCTGTGTTACTTTCGGACGGTCGTAATTCGGAAAAATGAAAAGCTAAAATCTGAAGAGAGAACTAATCGACACTGAATGCATATTGCAATGTTTATAATTGTTTATTTGAAATACTTTTATTAAATCGACGTGACGAACGATTTAATTTGCAGTCTAATAATTTTATTCAAGGAGCGCCGAGTGGGATCAGACTTGTTCGTTAAAATGGGCGGCCGAGTTTCCTCGTGTCGTGAAATACGCGTATGTTCCTGAGAAAAACCCGTACAGCAGGATGTCCGTCTTTTTTCCCACCTCCCTTTGTCTTCGTCGAGGCTTCCTGTGTCACACGCCGTTGAGCACGCTCCACCCCCGCCCCGACGGTTGTTCGCACGTCCGGGATCACCCTAATTGTTGGCGCAACACCACGCGGGGGTCGAGTCCCGCACGCGAGACGAACAAGGGCCACGAGTGGCCCACCCGCTAGTTTTAGGAAACGATCGATTCAGCGGATTTTCCGAGAGAAACTTATGTCACTCCAAGAGAAATTAGTAGCCTAAGTAATTCGAATCGACGTCCTCGAGAATAGAAACAGAAAATTGTCTAATCCATCGTAAGTATAAATTCTAACAATTTGGAACAAGCACTCAGTTTCATCTGTCCAGACGTTATGGTTTTAACACTAGATTGCCCAAAGAAGTAATTTTGACTGGTTTTGGGCAAATGTACAAATAATAATGCATAAATTATTTTTTTTNTTAATAAAACACTGTATAAAATTTTGTTCACTGAATGAGAACAGGTGAACATCTCGAAAAATGATTCGAATAAAAATCGTCATACCAGGGAGTGATCCGAATCGGGTCGAGAGGAGTCGCGTACCGAAACGTGGCTGAGGCATCGCAAGTCGAGACATCCGCGGTCGATTAATTAGTCAATGGAAAAGGATATATCGGGTACGGTGTAACGATATAGAGCAGCGTGCGGTACATGATCGATTACTTACGTTGTGCAGCTTGTAGTAGAGGCCGCACGCGTTGCACACCGGCTCGCCGGCCTGATTCCTTCGCCAGAGCGTGGTGGTCGCGGTCTTGCAGTTAGCGCAGCTGGTGCCCGCCCGCCTCGCCGCGCTCTGCAGCGACAGTTTTTGGAAAAGAAAACAAACAGATATCACACCTGCTAACACCTCGGCATTCAGTTTATTCCCCAGCAAAAAGTATTCACGATTACAATCAAAAGTCACGAGACAATATTAATTAAGAGGCAGAATTCTTGATTTTATAT